TTATTGTTGGCATTTTTACCACAGTCTCTTTTTATAAAAGTTACATAAGTTATTTGTAGGAAAATGTACACCTTATATGGAAGGGAAATAGGAGGAGGAGGCTCAGATAACACCTGTAACTGCACCATTCAGGGTAATTATTGTTAACACATACCTCAGTTCACATTCTTCTGGACCAGATCTTAAGAAGTAGATAGCTGAAACTCTGTCTTTTGCTTTCTGCCTTTGCTGACTTAACTTAGAAAGGCCTATCTTGCCTCCATCTCTATGTATCTACCTCTATTTTGTTCTGTTCGGGCAGTTTCATTTTTTTTACATTTAAATCTCCTACCCATCTGAAATGTATTGTGGCACATGTTATGGACTAGGGAATCTACTTTTCCTCCAAATGGTTGGTCTGTTCCCAGCAACATTTTTCAATTAATTCACCATGTCCTTTCTCCATTGCTTTGAAATGCCATATCAGCACATGAGATCAGAATTTAGGCTAGTGAATTCTAAATTCTTCCATAATTGGGAGGAGGGGGATTATCTCAGTTGTAGTAATAAAAAACAAAAGCATAATACAAAGATAGTCACTCAAAAACTAACTGGCCACTTATAAAACTAGTCTCTACTCAAGTTTCTTTCCACATTCAACACTATATGAATCCCCACCTGCCATCAACTTCTTATACTGGTTCATCTTTCAGTGACTGTTGGAAATTGTTACAAATACAGCATAAATGGGTTGCAGAGGGAAATTACAAATCTTGCAAATGATGCAAATACAATGCAAATTAGGTGTTATTAGAGAACCACTTGTACCACATTCATGGATAGTACCCAGGGAAAATCTGGCAATTGGTCCAGTTAACAGTGAAGTGAAGAAAACTGGTTAGAATAATGACAAGATAAATATTTCTGAAGAAAATCATTTGCATAAAAATGACAGACCCCTAGGAAAATGGATAACGCGTTGGAATGTGTTTTCTTAAAAATGGCCTTCTTTCTAAAGGTGCTGGTTAGACCAAATCTGAGTGTCCTTCATCATACCAGAAACAGAACAAAAACAATACATCTTACACAATTCCTTCATAGCTGTCTCTAAGAACTGCTATAACATAACAGACATCACATAAATTTTGGCAAATATATGATAAGCTTACTGTTGATTTTCATTTTACTTATTTTTCAAACAAATCTTTTGTTTTCCCAATGACAACAATGAAATGGTTCCAGTTTCAGGTAGTCTTTTTCTGACACCAATTAGTCTCGAACCTTCCATAATGAACCTAGCAATGTAAGGTAAACCTCAGCCCTAAGCACCTGCAAGGATGAAGCAAACATGTATGAGAAAGTCAGCTAGACCACTAAAGGCATCCACATTCAGATTTTTTAAAAAACACTACCCTGGTGGCCCTATGGAACTCTTGTTCTAAGGGTAGAATTCATATCACTGAGATTAAGAAAAAGACATACAATGAAAGGGCAATATTCCCCAGCAGAAAGATGTGAGTAGTAGAGTAAAGAAGAGAAATATAAGCTTGATGGCTCTGTAATAAAAAGAATACCCAGTAAAGGTTAGGTTAAATGCTGATGGAATCTGAAGGTTGATAAAGGCAAGCAGGAGAAATGTGAGGCAACAAAGTCCTTAAGGTAATTCCCAGTGGGGAAGATTTTCAAATTCTGGATGCCAGGGAGGATGCTGTCATCATGGCCTTTACTGCAAAGGAAGGGCACATACAAGGTGCCAGGCTCATAAAGTCAGGAGGCTAGAAAAGACCAAGGGTTTTTTATTCTGAGATGTTTATTCATTTGCCATTTAATAAGGAACATGGTAAAATTACACACACTCCTGCCTTTTAATACCATCCACTAAGTCACTTCATCTTTCTAGGGCCTTCGTTACCTCAGCTCTTAGGTGAGGGAGGCAAACCAGATGATTTCTGAGTTCCTGCCCAACCATTAAAAAGAAGATCGTGTCTGTGAAAAATGTTTGTGTGTTCATGTGTTCGATCATCCACTCCCTTCTAGTATGCCACTTTACCTTCATGTATTCTGAAACAACCACAACAGCTAAACTAACATCATAAATCACACAATTACTGGTTTGAAGCAGAAATAACTCACAGTATTTCTTATTATCTCTGTAATAATTGTACCAAGTCAGCTACCAAGATAATAAAAATTAAGAACACAGCAAATACAAGGTAAACTGCATTGTAGTCCTCATAGCAAAGAAAAGAGATTGTGTGAAACAGTTTCTGCCCTTTTCTTCCCACAGTGCAACACCAATTTAAGTAAAAAGAAGGCCAGATTGAGAACAGCTTACCCAGAAGGAGGCTCTGGCTAGAAATCTATTTGTACCGTTGTGGTTTGTGTGGTCTAGCGGGAAGCACAATGAGCTAGAAGATTTCGAATCTAGACTAACCCTTCCAGTAACCATGTGACTCTGGACAAGATATTTAGCTTTCCCTAACTCCATTGCTATTTGTAAAACAGCAATAATTTCACATGTTTCTTCTACCTCAAAAACATGCCAAGTACAGAAATTCAGTTCAGTTCAGTCACTCAGACATGTCCGACTCTTTGCGACCCCATGAACCACAGCACACCAGGCCTCCCTGTCCATTACCAACTCCCGGAGTCCATCCAAACCCATGTCCATTGAGTCGGTGATACCATCCAACCATCTCATTCTCTGTTGTACCATTCTCCTCCTGCCCTCAATCTTTCCCAGCATCAGGATTTTTTCAAATTAGTCAGCTCTTTGCATCAGGTGGCCAAAGGACTGGAGTTTCAGCTTCAGCATCAGTCCTTCCAAAGAACAACCAGGACTGATCTACTTTAGGATGGACTGGTTGGATCTCCTTGCAGTCCAAGGGACTCTCAAGAGTCTTCTCCAACACTACAGTTCAAAAGCAATAATTCCTTGGCGCTCAGCTTTCTTTATAGTCCAACTCTCACATCCATACATGACCACTGGAAAAACCATAGCCTTGACGAGATGGACCTTTGTTGGCAAAATAATGTCTCTGCTTTTTAATATGCTGTCTAGGTTGGTCATAACTTAGAAATTAGTGTGTGAAAAATTTGAGCTCCAAGGAGGAAAAGTATTATAGTCAATAAAGAAGCATGGTAATGACAAAGAGAACTGATTTAACAATTTTTAAAAACTCACTATCATGATTGGATCACGGCAGGTGGGAGGGAGAGTCACTCAACTAAAGTCAAGCACTGTTAAGTGAAAGCAAGCAATTGTGACCACGACAAACACACACAGCTTCAATCACCCCAATGGGAGGAACTCAGTTAGACAAGCGTGACAGGCACATACCTGGCTTACAGACTCCTGGCTTGTGAACAAACACATGTTCTACTTTCCTTCTTTCTGTTCCTCCCTTCCCTCTCTTCCTCCTTTCCTCACCATCTTCCTTCCAAACATTTAGAAATTTTACATCAAGGGTTTCTATGGACACAGCCCTGAAGTCACCTCCAAATCTAGTTATTTGAACAAATGACTATAGCTCTATATTCAATAAATGTGGCATCCTAACAGTGGACAGCAATGGGTGAATGGAGGCCAAAGGACTAGTTATAGGAGGATGTTAACAAGGGCAAGATGAAGAAGACCTAAATTCAGATAAGCTATTAGAACTGCTTCTATGTAGGAAGGCAATTCTATTCTGAAACACCATATTAAAAATAGGTTCTGTTTATATATAATTAAGGTAAAAAATATTTCAAGTCATAGACTATAGAATGCTATGGTCCCATGCCAGTCATTCTCTTCACCCAAATTTAGAAGATGAATTATACATACATCTATACAATGGCAGTAATTATAGTTTGGGTTTCCGAGTGTATCTCTGTTCCAAGAACTGTGCTAGGCGCTTTATAAATACATAAGGCCCTGGAAACAAGGAAGGCATTATTATACCCACTTTGAAAGGAGAGACTAGACGCTGGAAAGTTAAGTAACATATTCAAGTCATATGAGTAGTAAGGCATAAAGACAGGACCCAAACACTGGTCTGTCTGCCTCCAGAGCCTGTGCTTATTAGATTATGCTATGCTGTCTCCATGTTTATCTTTTTTAAAGTGTTCACTTGCATTCCTTTTTACTTCGAGGAATGCTGGTTGAGGGGGGAAGGAAACAAGAGGAAGAGTATCAGCAGAGGGAGGTAGGTGTACAAAAGGCAAATAAAGCAGAAGATGAACAAAATCCACATCGCTTCCCATACTATGGTCCCTGCTTGAGGAGGAAATAGATGCTACAGCTGCTTCATGTAATAAACTCATTTACTCTGTCCTCCTTGCTGCTGCCATAAAGAGAGACACTAAGAAGATGGAAGCAGGACTTGGGAGCTGCTGCCTCGAAAGGACCAAAATGCAGTGCTCTTGACAGCTCAGCCCCTCTGATGGTGGGAAGGGCTGACCCGGATGCCCATGGCCATCACTGACTGCCCAGGTAGGGGCAACCTGGATCTCTAACCCTGGCACATAGTGGCCTCAGCCCTGAATCCTGCTCATATCACCTTATCTCCAGTTTTTTCTTTGTCTTTTCTCCCTTATTCTGGTGACCGCAATCCAAGCAAACAGCAGAAGGGATGGGACTCATCTGGATTATATTAGCCACTTGTATTATGCTATTTACATTTATGAAATATGGTATCGCGAGATCACATTTAGTAAGATGTTCCTTAAAAATGGTTTTATTCTCTAATCCACTTTTTATTGGTTAGTAGCAAAACAATGTGGATCATATATTTAGAAGCAGGAGGAAGGAAAAAGACATACCATTCTAGAAATGTTTAGCAAGCAAATACCCCGAGAATATTTATCCAAGTGATTACCCTGGGATGTCTGAAGGGAAACGTGCAAGCAATTTTCTTGGCTATCATCACTTTAATATGAAATGTAAACCCCCAAATACAGCCACAATAAAGGGCACACCCCTTTAATTTGGCCAAAGTCTTAACACAGTTGTGTTTGGGAAGCATGAACGGAGTTCCTACCTGGCATGACCATGGTCTGCGGAGCCGCTGCATCAGTACTTATGCAGAGACGCCCACCTTTGGCTAATCGATCGCACAGCAAGGTGATGTGCTTCTTCAATCGGCTTGTGTCTTTGGGTATGTCCAGCTGGCTGCTGAAGTTCAAAGCCTGTTCCTTGGAACTCTTCGATAGGCAGGTCTTTAAGAGGTGAGAAAGAGCAGCATCCACGGTTTCTTCCCAGCCCTGGATGCAAAAGCCAATTTGGAATTTATGCAAAGATGACAAATGAACAAAGGAAGCACTTTACCATCAACCAGGTTATAAGATTATGAGTGTTTAGGTCCCAGTGCTGGGAACTTGTTAAGAGCTTGGTGTCTGGTAGTCTAGACCAGTCTGGTTTTAAATTCTAGCTCTGTCTGCTGTTTGAGCATGTTACTTAATTCCTCTTAGCCTCATCCTCATCTACAAATGAGGCTACTAATAATCTGTACCTCCAAGGGTTGGGGGTGATTAAATGAGATGGTATACAAGTAGCTTTTAGCCCCGTGCCATGCATAATAATCATCATTATCTCAGGTATTGCTATGTTTGATGATCCAGAGGGTGAAGCCTAAGATTATAGTTCATTTGCTGCTGAAAGAGAACCAGCCAAGATAAGAAGAGACTGGGGGAAACTGGAATGGAGAGAAAACCCTGGTGTGTTTCTCAGGATTGGTTCCATAGTCTTGGAGCTGCAGGCAGAAGCTAGAGGAACTTTGTCAAGAGAGACTTTGGGAGGTACAAGCCTATCCAGTCCCACTTCCCTTGTCAAGGTGACATAAAGTGACACAGAATGAGGCAGTGAGCCATTTATCCGTTTTGGCTGGGGACAGTGTGGCGCTATAGTGAAGACTGTGAGGAGGGTAGGGTCACCTCAGAACCCTACAGGCTGGAATTCTAGGGCTATCAATGGCAGACAGGGACTGCAGGGCCATCACAAAGGACGGGCATGAGGAAGCACCACACTCAGGTAGGTTCAGATAACAGCAGGTGAGGAGCCTTGAACAGATAACAACAGGTAAGGAGGCTTGAAGGAGAAGGGCAGCTTATGCTCTCTCACTGGACATGCCCAGAGATAACTGGGTGTGATTTTCAGGGGTTCCAGAGGTCCTAAGCATCAAAATAGAAAAGTGTGAGTGAAATCTGGATATTACTACCAATAATTGCATTTGTATCCAGAGGCCAGTGAGCCCTAGAGCACCACAGACTTGACAAAGTGAAATTATAAAGGATGACAGTGAATGACTACCCTCATAGAATTCTGCAGAATAGTCCAAGTCCCTCACCTAAGGAATGAGAAACCTGAGACTCAGAGAGGAGTCCCTGGATGAACTGACTGTTAGAACTGCTCCATCCTCAACCTGATCAGCTGAGACACCTTGCAAATGTGCAAATTGGATTACATTATTCCTAAACTTCAACTCCTAAAGCCAAATGCTCAGTTTAGCACACAAAGCACTTTCTGCTCCACCTCCTGCTCCATTTTATTCTCTCCCTGTCCAACTGCACCCACACTCTCACCTTCGCCTCTCCACAGGCTTGATCCTCCTGTTGCAATGCCTAATTGCCACTCTTTCTTGCCAACTCCTATTTACAACTCAGCTCAGGCACCGCCATCTAAGCATCACATTCGTGGGCCCTCTCTGTGACTCTGAGACCAGACGCACCCAGTTCATCACCCTGGGAGCACTCCCCACCCTCTGCTGTGGCCACTGTCAGCACTCTGGTTTCTCCAGTGCCTGGAGATGTCCGCACCTCTAGCACTGTGCTTGGTCAAGAAATGTGTCTGCTGGATAGAGACACAGAGAGATGGTGAGAGATGGTGAACTAGGATTGCAGATTTGGGGAGGAGTCTGGAGATCTTTAATCCAGTCTCATGGGATGCTTCCTCGAATAAAACAGAAACCATGTGCCTAGGTATGGCTGTCCCCAGGATACAAAATTATCACTTTTTGAGACAGTTCACTCCTTTCATGGACATGTGAAACCAGCAGAAAGTTATTCCTAAAGCTGAGCCAAAATCTGCCCCATTGGCCCTTATTCTACCCTCCAGAACTATGCAGAATAAATCTAACCTCTCTTCTACACGATAGCCCTTTATACCTAAGAAGACAGCAATTCTGTACCCTCTCCTCCAGAATAAACATCCCCAGTTCCTCCAGCTCTTCCTTATATAAACACGGTTTCAAGTTTTCTCTCCATCCTGACCACTTGTCTTTGAATGAGCTCCAATTTTAAACACTTAAACATTTATACAGCTAACCAGAGAACCCCAAACTGACCCCAAGACACCAGGCTGAGGATGGGGATTCAGGGTCGGTAGAGTCACCCCCCCCCACCTCATTGTTTACTGGGAATTCTCCCTGCCAGCCAGGCCTCTGGTTGCCTCTGCTTTCTTGGCAGCCACACCACACTCTCGGTTCACACAAGCAAACACAATTAAGCCCCAGGCCGTTTCCACACTCACCACATATCTTCCTTTTAGGCTTAAGCGGTTCGTTCTTTAGACCAAAGTGCAGATTCTCTACATATCCACTAAAGAACTTCCCACTGATTGCCAACACCAGAATTTTTTACTCTATTGACCCATTATAGATGCCACCAGGCAAATAAGGCAACACATTATTTTTAAATGAGATGTCAAAGGCTATAAAAACAACTTCCTACTCCAAACCACTAAAGAATAATAAAACACTAGTTGCTACAAAGACATCTTTATACAACTATCAAAATCTAAATCAGATCAATATTTAAAATTGAATTTGTATTTCAATAATAATGGGGATGAAAATTAAGACAAAATAGTAACCTAAATGTCATTGTAGAGGACATATTTTCAAGTTGTTTTTGATGCCATCAATGATGACCTCTGGAGTATAAGAAGGAAAGATCCTTTGTATATAATTTGGCATTTATGTACTCTGTGGTCATTTCAGCATTAAAACAGTTCCTACTATTTTACAGACTATTCATCTAAGCTAACTATTGTTTTCATAAGTAGGTTACAGTAGCATATTAGATAATTTAAGTAGATACAGCATTTAGTTAATATAGATGTACTACAGAATTTCCTTTTCTACTGCCAACTTGCAGATCAAGTAAAAAACCATGTCATGGTTAGGTATTTGGCATGGATATTTCTTTAATATAATGAGGCATGATGCCAAAACTTCAAAAAGATTGCTACTGAAATACAGGGTTATTATTTGGAGAGCCCAAATTACTACATAAATTCAAATATGATAATAAAAAGGAATGTTTATGAGACAAAGGAAGAGCCTTAAAAATGCAATGTGATAATCTACTGATCAAACACATAGCCTACTTACCTGATAAAATGTGAAACAAAACCATGTAGAAATCTAGAATCTCAAGTACAAAAAGTTCCTTAAAGGTAAGCTATTTTAACCACCTTTTTGGTGTTTGAATCCATCACCTTTATTTAGAGCCTTTAAACTGATAAGTCCAATATTTAGTTTTAATGTGTAAACACACACACACACACACAAACACACAACCCACATGCACATACCTGATCTTTATCCTCTAATGTTGAACATTAGTTGTACTAATAATTGAACACCAATTGATGTTCATCAATTGCCTTCTCCTAATTGTGAGAGTGAAAGAAAATCTTAATTTTGGTAAAATGGCACTAAAAATGTCTGGAAGGGATGAAACTACTAAGCAAGCATGCTTCAGTCATAATTGATATGATTTTAGTTCTCAAATACACAGCCTAACTCTTAAATCCCAGTTTACCCACGTACAGCTTTTGGAAAACAATAGTTGGTGGGAAGTTAAATAAAGATATAAATGTGTGAACAAATCAACAAATAAATTTAAATGTACATGCTATTCTGTTTTATCTTCTCCACAGCCCTTGTCAGCATTACAAATTAGTTTATTTACTTGGCTTTTTGGTGCTTACTGTATCTTTGGGGTTTTCCTTTGTTCCCAAGCTCTAGACTCTATCCCATGTGGTAACTTGACTTTTGTCCTAGTCCTACCTGAGCCCCTACGTTGGGAGCCTGCTTGAAAGGTCCCCCCTTACTGGACTGGGCTGCCTTGCTCCTGCCAAATCCTCCCAAGGAACTAGACCCATGGCTGCAGCCCTGCTGCCTGACTTCAATGCCAAGCTGCCTGCTGCATGCATCCCCCAGACTGAGGGCCTGCTCACTCAGTCTTACTGCTTTTGTGTTCCTCCTGCCTGTGTGGAGTCTCCTGTAAGCCATGCGGGCCCCACATGCCTTTCGGTACCAGTGGGATGTCCCATTTCTATGGTGTCTGCTATCCTCTTCCTGACTGAAGACAACTGAGGTACGAGTTTTATGATCCAGTGGCCAGACAGCCATGGCTGAGTTTCTGACGTCTCTGCCCTACCTGTCCTGCTAGTCTCCACCGGTCACGGTGCCTAAATACAAGTATAAGCAAGCGGCTTTTCAGAAAGAATAAGAAGCAGAAAGTTTGACCAAGTTTGTAAAGTGTATTTCCTAGGGTATCAACCAAAGTAACCAAAAAAAAAAGAAAAACCTAGAAGAGTTTTCTCATGCCACCTACAAATTAAAACAACCAAGTTGAAGATAGCTGCCCCTCGGCTTCTGGGTTTTGGTTTAACTCATTCACCTCAACTGCCTCTTCACTTTGATAAATCACTTAATCTCTGTAGACTATATCTGTCTGTGTGTGTGTGCGTGCGCATGCACACGCACGCACACACACTCCATCACTCCATTGGGTCTGACTCTCTGTGACCCCATGAACTGTAGCCGGCCAGGATCCTTGGAACTTTCCAGGCAAAAATACTGGAGCTGCCATTTCCTAATTCTAGGGGATCTTTCTGACCCAGGGATCGAACCTGCATCTCCTGCATTGGCTGGTGGATTCTTTACCACTAGCACCACCTGTGAAGCCCAAAGTATATCCAAGGTCTCCATAAAACAGGAATAACACTATTTGTCAAGCCAATCTTACATGAATGATAAGGCACTCAAAATCTTAAGCAGAAGATACTGTGGAATAAGCATATATATGCAATCCTACTTTTTTAAAAAAATCAGAAAATAAAAAGACACCATTGGAACCCAATGTACAAAGTCACATCTTTAAACTGTTATTCAAACAAATTATAAACTTCTGCAAATGTATGTTTGTAATAGAAACACTACCACATCAGCAACTATAGTAGCATAGAGAAAAACCAC